TAGATTGTCAACATGGCTTTATTACCGGTAGATCCAGCACTACTAACTTATTGTCTACGTTGAACGATTGGACTCGCCTTCTGGACGAAATGGAGCCAGTGGATGCATTGTATCTCGATTTTGCCAAAGCATTTGACAGTGTTCCATATGAGCGGCTGTTGCGTTAAGGGAAGTCTTTGGGAATTGAGGGAAACGTACTCCAATGGATCAGAGACTTTCTAGTAGGTAGACGACAACGTGTCAGGATTAACGGAACCGTGTCAGACTGGGCGTCATTGCGCAGTGGCGTGCCACAAGAAAGGGTTCTTGGGCCTATTTTGTTCGTTGCTTTTATAAACGATCTGCCAGAAGCAGTGTCCAGCGTGTGCTCCATGTATGCCGACGACACAAAAGTTCATAATTCTGTGAAGGATGCGTCAAATAAAGCGCAATTGCAAGATGATCCTGACAGTTTAGTTAACTGGGCTGATATTTGGCAGCTGCGGTTTAATGCTAACAAGTGTAAAGTACTTCACCTCGGGAAGAACAATGAGCCGCAAGATTACATTATGAGAAGACATGGTTACAACGAGAGAGTAATGATTGAAAAATCTAGTGTGGAAAAAGATCTCGGGAGTTTATATTGACAAGGAGCTGAAATTTTCTGAGCATGTTGAAACGAAAGCTAAAATATCCAACAAACTTCTTGGTCTAATCAGACGCTCTTCCGAGTTCCTAGATGCAACAGCGATGAAGCAGTTGTTGGTTGCTGTCGTGCACTCGAATCTAAAGTTTGGAAACGTTGTGTGGTCACCGAGATTTGAAAAGGACAAAAATTTAATATAGAGTGTTCAAAGACATGCAACAAGGATAATTCCAGGCTTGAAGGGCAAGTCCTATGAAGAAAGAATAAAGGTCATGAAGCTTCGAAGCATCTGTTCAGTTATCGACGTCTGCGTGGGGACCTCATTGAAGTATACAAGTATACTCATGGGTTACCCCACAATACAAGGTACCCGAAGTATTACTAGAATTTGAAACATGAACCAACAGCAGGAGCCACGGCTGTAAACTAAAAAAACTGCGTTGCAACTGTCCACGCGACAACATTTCTTCTCGATTCGAATCACAGCCATTTGGAATAGCCTCCCTGATTACATCGTTGGCGCTCCGAGTATGAACGCGTTCAAGAACAGTCTAGATAAAGCTATGGAAAAATATATGTTCAGACTTGAAATGCCTAGCACCATATCGAACCCGGTGGAAGTCTAGCAGCTATTTCAAACTATCGTCAGTATTGAAAAGATACGGTCAAAAGACACGATTTTAGATCGTCTGAGAACAAGTCATGAAAAGTTCAAGAATCGGCGACAGGTCACATCAGGCCTATTCGCTATTCTTTAGCGCCGACAGCACTGTGCTATGTTATAAAAATTCTGAAGGATCAGTGCTCTGTTTCCAATTCCTCGACATTGGAATTGGGGTGCGTTGTGGGCAATTTAGTTTTACCGGTTCAATTGTATTTGACTCCAATGTCAGAGAATTTTAACGGCCAAGGTAACTTGGATTGTTCAATAAAAGACAGACAGAAACGTAGTGAGCGGCAGGCTGAAACTGATCGGGATAATGAGGACACAATAAATTGACAGAGAATTTATTCTCATAGCTCACATGACCTGCAGCTTTGACTCTGGCCGTTGGACTGGTGCTTGGTGGTGTCGATGTGGCAACGTCGCTTGTTGCCGTCAGCAAGTTAGTAAACACGCTCGCGTTGGCTCAAGCGTGCGTTGGCGGTGTGGGAGATCCGGGAGTGCACGTGGAATTCAGGAGTGCACGTGGAGTCATGGAGGTACACATTGATTTTGGATGGCGCGTAGAGTTAACTTGATACGAGGGGGTAGCCAATGCCGTGGAGGTGTTGCTTGTATCACTGCCAGAGGAGAATAGCCCGCGCGCTAGAGGCCTAGCTGGCGTGTTGCCACTCAGCAAACTCTAAAATCTAAATGTATTTCTACACACGTTACATGAGCTACATATTTTTAATTGTTAAATTAGTGTTGTGTGTAAAATTAGTCATGCATTTTTACTTATAAAATTAGTGGTTTGCTCTTGAATGTAAAATTAGAATCATGTGTTTTATATGTATAATTATTTATGTAGCGAGGTCCGCTACAGCGTGGTAACCTACGGTCACGACTGAGGGAGAGAGTGAGCTGAGTTCATACGGTAAACACGGAGTCTCATTTGCACCGTGGTCGAAGGAAGACGTGTGTCAGTGCTTTCCTACTTGTGCATATTTAGAAGTGCTATTCATCCCAGCCTGGTAAAATGGCGGCGAACTCTGAATCGGCTGATCTTATAGACCCTGGTGCGCATGAAAAGGAGCTGCTGGAAACACACATGCCAACGGATTCCCAAATCCGTCAATTTTGTGAGGAAGAATTCAGCCACCACGCCCCAAATACTGCTGGAAGGAAACGCAAGGGTGAAGGAACTGTGAGAGAAGGAAATAGTACTCATAAGCGCCAAAACGTCCAGTTTCTCCAGAACAGCCTTGTAGACTTGGCACTTGGGTGAAGCACCTACAAACCCAATAGAACCAATTTCTGTACAGGAAGAAGAAAGGGCAGTTCCAACAGACGATGATGCCAACGCCAGGGTAATTCTCATCCGACCTGCAACCGAAGATGCAAAGAAAATGTTAACTTCACCTGAACAACTTTGCCTAGCCTTGGAAGCCCCACCATTTAACACCCTTCATATTAAAGATGTGCGAGTAAACCGGCGTAAAGGACTGGTTGCAGTGGAGCTTGCCAGATACCATGAAGCAAGCATCAACTCACTTTTGCAGCTGACCCAACTTGGTGCTTGGCCAGTCACATGTACCCAACCAAATCAAGCCAAATTTTGCTATGGAGTTATTGGCCCTATTGAAGTCAATACTGATACCAGCACCCTGATAAGAAGAGTAGACTCCTGCAGCTCAAGCAAGCTTGTAAAGATGGAGAGACTTAGCAGAACAGTTGATGGTAAAAGAGTTCCATCAACTTCAGTTCAAGTGGTTTTTGAGGGCCGGGATTTACCTACAAAAATTAAAATTGGATACCTCTCTTACTCAATTAGAGCGTACGAATTCCCTCCGTTGCAGTGCTATCGCTGCCAGCGATATAAGCACTCAGCTAATGGATGCACAAGCAAGATGAGGTGTCTAGTGTGTGCTGAGGAGCACCACTTCAGCACTTGTCACAGCAAGGTTTTCAAATGTGCCAATTGTGGTGGGCCCCACAAGGCTAACTCACCTGAGTGTGATTTGGCACCAACCTCCAAAGCGTACTGGAAGAGTTGGTTGGGATGCCTCCAAGGTAAGGGCCGTAGGTGTGCCGGGGGAGAGTGCTTTGGGGTGTCAGCTGCCTCGAGCTGATCGGGGCATGCGAGTGTTGGCAGATGTTCATCATGGGTTGGACAGTTCAGGTCACGTGACTGGTTCTTTGTCATATAGCCAGGTTGTTGGGAATAGATCAATTGTTGATCCTCCAGTGTCTTTGGATACTCCAGTCCAGTCCAGTGTTTATCCACTGCCAGCTGATTTTGTGTTTCGTTTAACTAATTGTCTTGCTGATTTGTTCTCTCTTTCTCTGCATCAAGAATCTCCTCTAAAGTCTCGCTCACTGATTACTGCTGCAGTTCATAACTTCATAAGCATTTTAGGGATGTTTTGACTGTCTCAAATCTGTCTGCACCCAAATCTACATATGTATTTGCTCCTACTGATCATACTCGTGATGCTCTTGATGATCATCTTGCTACTACCCCTGCTGATTGTGCTGTTGTTGCTCCTGCTGACTGTCCTGTTGTTGCTCCTGTTGATTGTGTTGTTGCTCCTACTGAATGTGCTATTGTTGCTTCTGCTAACCATGATGTTGTTGCTAGTGGGATAAGCTCTCCAACGCCAGATGAGGTATGTGCGATTGGTGATGAGTTTGGGTCTTGTCTTGGTGTTGAAAACTTTAAATTGGTTTCAGATTCAGATATGTCTGGGGAAGATATTGCATCTGGTAGGTAGTGGGATCTGTGGTTCCTGGAAGACGTGATGGTCAGAATGGTGTCAGTTTTTTGTCTGCATCATCAACAAAACCCAGCCCTGTTTTAAGCACTGGTCGTCGTGAACCTAATGGCAATGGTAAGTTGCCTTTGAGTGCTGAATCTTCAACTCGGAGGTCAGGAAGTCGCGAAATAGAAAGAAATAGCTCAGGCAGTAACAGATGTGATGTCCTTTTCTATGGTTTCCTTGAATTGTAATAGCCTCTATGCCCGGTTAACTGAAGTCAAGCTGCTCCTCTATAGTAAGAAGCCAAGTCTCATGTGCCTCACTGAGACTTGGGTGAAGAATACCTACTTGCCAACTTTCTATGGCTATCACTGCTTGTGGCAGAAATAAGTCCAGCAGCTATCTCAATCAATCGTCAGCTATAGAAAGATCGGGTTACAAAGGCCGGATCCCTTGTGAATCAAGTCACGAAAAGTTCAAGAATCGGCAACAGGCCATGGGCCTATTTCTTCAATGCCGACACTTCTATTCTATTCTAAGTAAATTTCAATTTGCAAATAATGATCAATACGCTTTATTTATTTAATTATGAAAATTGTAACAAATATTGTTATAAGATAAAGTCTATATTCCTTATATAAGGTTTGAATGCAGTTCAGAATAAACATAGAATAGGTTATGAAAATATTTATTTTTTCGTAATTTATTCAAGACTCGTGGTGTCAGAAGCACCTCCAGGGCAGATCTCTGCCTAGGATAAATAACGTTATGTGTTCATGTACACAGTTGATCAATGATTTTTAGAACGTCTTGAGATGAATATCATACGAAAGCGTCGCATAATCAATTGATAATCATTGGTTCGTAGGTGCAACCTGTTAATCGATAATTAAAATTAACTAATTAATTCAACAATTAATCTCAGTTAATCATTAATATAATCTGGTTTTTAATCAATGGGATTGTTTTTACAGATTATCCTGTAGAAATAACTTCTTTCGCTGCGTACCGAGATGAACTTCGTAAAGAATTCGAATTTCATGATGGAATTCAGAAAAAGGTGAAAATATTGGGATTTCATGAGAAGGATTGCATCGGTTTATTTGTAAAGTATATTCTATTTAATTGTTTATGAGTCTACTCTGTATATATACTTATCAGTACCATATCGTTGTCAAGTCTAAATAAGCGCTATGAACAAAGATTCCCGAAATGCGAAAGCTGCACTTTAGTTTGCTTTGTAAAGGCTGACAGAACTTTTCGAAACAATTCTCAGCAATGTTGAGTTAACCAGCATGATGAATTAAATTAAATCAATTAAATTTTCCAAATCAATCTCATAAGTATATCTCTGAAAAGGTTGCAAGTATTAAAACACTCATGCATGGACATACATATGTTCCTGATTTTGTAACGTTGTTTGCACAATAAATAACATACATGCTCTACTTGAATTGCTGTTGGTTGTTCGATCGGATATAACCGAGGTACTCCACTATAATCACTCAGAAATGTTTGTTCATTCTCACTAATTGTTTGTTCATTCTCAGTAACTTATGCCCTCTGCTTAAATCTCTCATGAGGCAATTTAGGAGCAAAAAGACACCGCAGTTACGTGTTGAAATTATTTCATCGATATAAATCACACACTCACATTATATATCAGCGATGTACAACATTGTACAAATTCTTCAACAAAATAGTCGCTATTTTTACAAGCCTCTGTCAACATTGCCCTAATTTTTCATTGAAAATTCATAATTTTTACAAGCTTATGTAAACATTGTAAAATTTTTTATTAAAAATGTCATTATTTTCAAATGCATATGACAACATTGCTTCAATTTTCAATTGAAAAGGTCGCCTTTTTTACAGGCTTATGACAACATTGCCTTACTTTTCCATTACAAAAGATGATATTTTTACAGGCCTATGACCGCCTCGCCGCAGTCGCCTCTAGCGCTACAAAGGAAGATCCGTCGAAACCTTTGGTCTTCGTGGGCGTTCACGTCAGACTCACTGATTATCCGAACATGATGTCTACAGTGCGTATAATAACTAATCTATGGATATTTATTGTACGTTTAATAATTAATCAATTTATACTTTTGGAACAAATAATAACCAGATCAGCCGCCATACATATTTTTTATCTTTCTTTTTCTCTCTCATTCTTCTAGTCACATATTTCCGACTACACACAGCAATCCCCCTATTCTGGCCTAGTCCTGTGTGTGTCATTACAGTGTTTAAAACAATCTTACACCTAGCCATAAATAACCTAATCGAACTCAACTAAATCCAGCCTAACCTAACCTAACTTAACCAAACCTAAACTAACCTAACCTGTCCTAACCTAACATTACCTAACATAACCTTTCCTAAACTAGCCTAACCAGACTTATTTTGACCTAACCTGACGTAACTTAACCTAAACTAACCTATCCTATCCAGAACCTCTACCGCTACAAAATGTCATATATCAGGTGCAGGTGTTTCACCACTTATCACAAGATACCAAATGGAAATTAAACCAGCACAAGGGCTGTCACTCGAGACCCTGTTGCTGGACCATCTAGTGCTCCAACTGATGGACCTTAACTAGCGGAAGTTAATTAAAGTATAGACTTTGTCACTGAAAATTTTTTTTTAATCTATAATCATAGAAAAATATGTCTACTTTGCATTACAGTACAACATTGCAAATGGAAAAAATATAAAAGATATGCAAATTATCATTTAAATTATTATATGCCTCATCATGAATGAGTGCCATGTGAAATAACGATATGTAGCAAAAACAATCTTAATTGCCGAGCCCACGAGCGGAATTGTCAATGATGAATACGTCTCAATTTATATTACATGTCTGTAACCTAAAAACAAAATAGACATCCAATCATTAAGCGGTTCGTCTCGTTATGTCTCGTTATAAATGATATAAATTCCGGGAAATTTTCAACATCCGATGTTAACCGGGACGTCTCGTCTCGCCTCGGTATCGGCCCGGAATTCCTACGGATTGCTAAAATTTGTCCCGAATTTTATTGCGAACCGGGACAAAGCTTCTTGTCTCGTCTCGTTTCGTCTCGTATGGAAAAAGTTCCAAACGCAGGAGTCTAACCCCGAGCTCACCACTCGGGGACCCTACGAGGGGATTTTTGTTCTCTTTTCGTGTAAAGTTTTTACAATCCTGGTCGTTACCGAGTTAAAAGACCTTAAAAAAACATAAAAAGCAGTTACGGACCGGGCTGATTGGGCTACGCACGACAAATACATGGCACGGAGCAATATTAATGTTTCAAGAAAACCATTTTCCACGGCACTTTTGAGATTTTTTCTTTCGTAATGTAAATGATAAAGAGACGAAGCAGGGAACCATATAAGAATGATGTATCTAAGTTAAAATTGAGTTGCCCAAAATTGCATAAAAAGTAAAAAAAAATATAATTTTTGGTCTATTTTTGAATATCAAGTTTCTTAAAGAAATGATATTTTGAAAATAAGTGAAATACTCAGTAATTAGCGCGATTTTATCCTCTGTTGATAGCAATTTTCAGGAAGCTTCCAAAAAATACGCAGTTATCACAATAATGAGTGTAAATCGTGAGTGGGAATCATTAGTGTAAATTATGAGTTTGAATCATGAGTGTGTATCACGAGTGTGAATCATGAGTGTTAATCATGATTGCTAATCATGAGTGTGAATCATGAGTGTAAATCATGAGTGTAAATCATGATTGTTAATGATTGTGAATCATGAGTGTAAATCATGAGTGTAAATCATACTTATTAATGAGTGTGAATCAAGATTGGAATCATGGGTGTGAAGTATGAGTGTGAATCATGAGTGTAAATCAAGAGGGTAAATCACGAGTGTGAATCATGAGCGTGAATCATGAGTGTGAATCCTGGGTGTGAATCAAGGGCGTGAATCATGAGTGTGAATCAAGGGCGTGAATCATGAGTGTGAATCAAGGGCGTGAATCATGAGTGTGAATCAAGGGCATGAATCATGAGTGTGAATCAAGGGCGTGAATCATGAGTGTGAATCGTGGGCGTGAATCATGAGTGTGAATCATGAGTATGAATTGTCATTCGTTACTCCCACAGGTATTCTCCGTGGACGATCTCGACAAATCCTACGAAGGATATCTTCGTCGGGCGTTCAACTTCTTTACGGCGAGGTTCGACAACGTCATTTTTGTCATCACGTCGGATGACGTCGTCACCACCACTAGCATGACGAAAAAACTTGCTTTTCCTAACACATTTGTGTCGCAAGGTGATTGGGAAGTCACATGCGCTGAATGGTAGTGCGCTGATATGAATGATAATCAGAGGTGGCGATCCATCGTGGCCTGGGACTGCTACATCTCAAACAAATACTAAGGACGGGGTAATAAGGGACACCCCCCTGGAGTAATAACTTAACAAGTAACAACTAACATGTTGACACTAGAAACAGGCTGAGGTTGTCAACACTGCACCGAAATCTTTGTACAGTTTTATTCTGCAATTTATATTATGTATGTATCATGCTGGTTTTTAAATAATATTTAATACCATTAAGTAAAATCTAAAGGCTTCATCTATAAATGTAGCGGTAGCGCTGTAGCGACAAAACCTCGTGTCGCTACTTAAATATGTAGCGGGCGCTACCGCTACCGCTACAAATGCTTAAATATAGCGCCGCTACCGCTACTGAAAATGTAGCGGCCGCTACATGTAGCGCGCTACTGCCCACCTATGATACCTACACAACTCCTAATACCTACATAACCCCTAATACCTACACAACCCCTAATACCTACACAACCCCTAATACCTACACAACCCCTAATACCTACACAACCCCTAATACCTACACAACCCCTAATACCTACACAACTCTATTGAACCTTCCCTTCCTCCCCATAGGGTCGGCCGCGGAGGACATGCATTTGTTGACCCTCTGCAACCACACCATCATCACGTTCGGAACATACGGGTTCTGGGCAGGGTTTCTGAACCCGGGCTTGACCGCATACCCAGACCTGAATTATACAGGGGCTACGTATGTGACGTCCCGGCATTTCTATGAGGCTGCTTATCTCGACGATTTTGTGCCGATCTTGTATAGGTGACGATATTTATATGAAGAATATCATAATGAATTCTGGGACCATTCATTTCGTCGTGCCTTCTCGTTAAGATGGCGATGTAACTTATTGTTTAATGGGCCAGTCCTCTCGTTGCGCCTTCTCATTAAGGTGGCGATGTCACTTTTGATTAATGGGGCCAGTCCTCTCGTTGCGCCTTCTCATTAAGGTGGCGATGTAACTTATGTCTTCGTTTCCATTAGCGTGGAAGTTTTTATACAAATCATTCTATCAGGTTAAACTTTGGACAACTGTCACCTTGAACGAAAACCAAACAAAATTACATTTTGAAGTGTGCCCTAGTGTGTAAACGTCAAACGTTGACCAAGGCAACTTTGTCTCATGGATTTGCACGTGTGATATGAGTCACGGCCCACTCATGACTCATGGAGCGGAATGGAAAAGTTCAGCTTCTGCAGTAATTTCCTCGATCCACCTCTATGTTGCGTTTCTTTATGTGCAACAATCCTTGCAAACCCTTGAAAAGTCGCACAAGGTGATAAATTTTGATTAAAAAAAATAAATGCATATTCTCATTCTCTGAAGTATAAGATTTATAAATAAAATGGATAAAGTAGACATGTGAGCGACTCTGGACTTTAGACTCTGGATCTTTTGAGAAATACTTTAACGGTGAACGTTTTCCTTATGTACAAAAAATTACTTGCTTACCGAGATCACGCTACATAAAAACTTTGAATACAATTACATGCGTGATTTTCACATAAAACTAACACACAATAACATAATGGGACAATCCGGTTATTGCTCTGTACTTCATTTCTGTTGATGGAATTCACCCTAGCGGGAGTATACGAGTTCTGTGTATTTCAAAATACCATCCATAAAACGTTTAAGAATAGTCACTCTTGAACACTGCCTAATTTTGAACATAAATTTTAAATATTAACGATAAAGATTTCAACATTGAGATTGAGATGAGCACTTTAATGCAAGCGATCTGGCCCTAATCTCATGACGGGCATAATTGTCGACGGTGGTACCCACCAGCGCAATTCTCAGTAAAATATTCCTCGAAGCATTAAACCGGTTGTTCCTGACTCAGAATTGGTTTTCTAGTCCATCTAAAATTTGATCATGTTTGAGGGAGCCTGACAGTTGACTCCAAAATCTCAAAAGTAGAAAAGGAACTACATTTATTTCCATAGAGCACCCTCCGATGCAGCTTTCTAGCGCCCCATACGCCTTAATTATGGACTTTCCAACTGAACACCATTATATATAAGTAATATAACTCATCTATTTCATGTATGTATGACTTCACAGTACTAATTAAATGCATCAATAAATGTTTTATTATGTATTACAGCACTAAATCGCAGCAGCTGACGCGAAAGACCGAACTGTTTTTCAGGAAGGGGAAGAATTGTAAGAAAATGTAATAATTTCGCATCTTTTTCATATCATCAGATGTGTTTTAAAGTTTTATAAGTTTTCGGAAGTATCTAAAAAAGGCTGGTACAGTAGTCGGTTCTACAGTTTCTGCAACCGGTTGATGAGGAATGAATTCAATGTAACATAGTGTCAAAACACTATATTAGTGCTTCAATAAAAGAATACATCAATATAGACTTACGAACGTGGCATTAAAAATTAAAAAAGTATGCGAAAATCGTTTTGGTCATAATTAAAGAAATAAATAAATTACATCAAATGCTAGCAAGATTTCTTCAGGAATATGATTCAATTATAGAAGTGTTAGAATAAACGTATCACCTATCTGCAACATGTACTGTGAGTTGTCGGATTCTAGCGTAACTTTTATGTCTCTTGCCTTATTTCCCTGTAAGAGGAAGCACCCGCTTCTCCTATCGCTCTCTAGCTTCTGGTCTTCGGCTCAAGCAGGTTGCTCTCTTTCGGTGTTGAAGTAAACCTTAGCAGAAGACTTGGCTTTCATTCAATCCCACCACCGTAAGACTATCATGCCGTCACAAAGTGATAACGTAGCAGGTTATGGGCCTTTTCATAGAATACCAGCGAACTTGATATTCGACGGTAATGACGACAACTACGAGTTGTGGGAGATTAAATTCCTATCCCACCTTACGCTAAAAGGTTTGGATGAGGCGTTGGAACGGGATGGAAATGAAAGCAACACTAATGAGTCCGCCACGAGCTCAGGAGCTAACAGTTGGGACAGAATGAACAAGAACATCTTTGCAGAATTAACGCAGAGGCTGGACGAGAAGAGCCTTTCACTTATTTGCCGTGAAGCTAAGGATGATGGACGGAAAAGCCTTAAAATACTACGTGAACATTACATGGGGAAGACATACCCTAGAATTATAGAGAACTATAATCGACTGGTAACGCTGAAGAAAGAAGAGAACGAGTCAGTGATTGACTACATCATCAAAGCTGAGAAAGCTGCTTCAGCACTCCAGAATGCTGGTGAGACAGTTTCTGATGGCCTCCTTGTGTCCCTGGCCCTTAAAGGATTACCGCCAAGCTATATTTCCTTTAAATCTGTCATTTACCAGAGTAAAGAACCTGTCCCTTTCAATCAATTCAAACAGTCACTGAAATCCTTTGAAGAAAATACACGGGAGGAACGCAAAGATGATAAAATCTTTGTAACATCGGACAAGAAAACAAACTCAAACCTGAGGTGCTACAGTTGTGGCGAAAATGGCCACCGACAATTTCAGTGCAGAAGAAAAGAAAATACTAAATGGTGCAACTACTGCAAGATGAACAACCATGATGTCAAAGAATGTTGGAAACTAAGGAAAATGTATGGTGCCCCTAGTACACGGATGGATGAAGATGCCACCGTTTCCACAGCAACAGATGGACATTTTGCAATGAAAGTAAGTCTCAGTGATGTGAATTTAGTTAATAAGTGTACTGAAGGCAAAACCATGTTGTTGGTAGACACAGGAGCTACATCCCACATAATTACAGATAGGNATCTGTCTCTTATACACATCTAGATGTGTATAAGAGACAGCTGGTATCCATGATACTTTACTGGTCTAGGTACTTATAGGGTAAACGCGGTATATTCCGACACATTAAGGACGCATCGAGAAATGAAAAACTATAAAAAAAACCGTATGCGTTACGTAAGTTCTGTTGCTGTCTCTTATACACATCTAGATGTGTATAAGAGACAGGTATTCTAAAGGCCTTTACATAAATATGGCAACATTTTGTGACGTTTCATTGTTGCTGACGCGTAGTGAAGTGTTTTGAGAGTCATGTGAAGGCAACAGAACTTATGTAACGCATAAAATTTTTTTTATAGTTTTTCATTTCTCGAGGCGTCCTCAATGTGTCGGAATATACCGCGTTTACCCTACAATTTACATAGTTGATCTAAGTCTACTGACTTCACTCAGTCTCATAGCCTAGTCATAGGCTTATTAGGCTTCAAGCCGGGACTCCGCCCTCAACCGCGCCTAGTATGGAATATATCTACTTGGCAAGCCGCGACTGAATTTTTCGAGCCGTGGTTTTATGGATTTGCCAGCCGTGATTCCATTTAAATCAAACAAAAATTTATGACATTCGAGCCGCGAGATTTCATACCTACTGAAATTATATGATATTAGAGCCGCGATATTTCAGACAAAAATAGGACTTTTCCAGACTAGAACCGCGCTACCGCAGTCAACTTGAGTCCATAGTGACACTGACAAACCACAGATTTTTTAGAATCAGTTCATTTTTAATTTCCTTATTTACTCACAATTTAAACCAATTTTTTATGTATGATAATGCAGGTATCCAGGGTACTTTACTGGTCTACATATAGGACTCAAAACTGAACTTGAGCCTTTGAGGGAGTCAGGGAGAGTCTAAAAAACTCTCTGGTTTGTCACTATGCTTGAGTAATAGGTCAACCCAATGAACCCATCAGAAATAGTGAGAGTAGGTAGGGTACTAAGAAAAAATTGAAGTAATAGCTAAGTACATTGAAGTGATTGAACTAATGACTAAATGAGTTTCAAAATTAAGAAACATTGAAACAAACATCTACTTACAATTGCTGAATTGCTACTCACCTATTGAGTAGGTTCTCGGGTGTTTGTTCTATCTTTCAAAATTTCTTGCAGTTACAATAAAAACAGATCATAAAGAAATCCAAGAAGTGAAAGAACTTGGCGCGGACGATCTACGACATAGGATTGCGAACTTAAAATGTTATTAGTGATTTTCTAAAAAGTTGGATTTCGGAACAGCGGAAAACTTCGAATCCATATAAAAATTTGCGACAAATAGTGATTGAGTTGAAATTAATATAAGTGAATTCAATTAAAAATATTATTTGATTTCCTGAACATCTTTTATCAAAATTTTACAAACTATAAAATGACTCAAATTGCATTTGAGCTGGACTTATTCTTTCCGTAAAATTGTCCGAGACGTTTTTTTACGAGACGTTTTTCCATATATATTTCTAAAATGCTTTGACGACTTTTATTACAGAATACTCTAGGTATGAGATTCGATTTAGGCTGATGGTTTTGAACAAGATCTTTTCATGGTTTTTTTGTCCATACGATTGAGGATGATCACCTAGAAAGAAGGGAGGTGTCTTGTGTCAATCAGGCGTCTCATTCTATTCTTCATAATTACATCCTAAGATTAGATTATATGCAATTGAGACGTAATATTAAATAGACGCGATAGATATTGATAGAACAGTACTAAAACAGAGTCAACATGGACAACATCACGCGACAGATCACGCAATCAATCAAGACCGCAGTATTGGATGGAAGCTATAATTTTATAAAAGGTATGGAAATTTTAGTAAGGCTCCCAGTAACTGACTAGCACGCTACCAGGTTATATTCGTTAGAGTTACTCCGACCTAGCGGTCGACGTCTTAAACCCCGTCCACACGTTCAAACTTATTGTCAGTCTTGCATGTGATGCCAAAGTTTGACCGATAAGACGGAAGACTGAAAAGCATCAGCAAGCTCAAACTTTCCTTCAGTCTTTTGCGCTCTCGGCAATGGAGGAGGCAGTGCTGCTCGCTGCAGTGATAGCAGTTTGTGCCACCATAATTAGGTTAAAGCGATGCAAACGTCCGTGGTGGTCCCGAAATTGGTTTAAAAAAAAAACTTTTAAAAACCACGTTTTCTTAACGGACATTTACTCTTCAATAACATTACATAACATT